TATATATATATATATCTTATTTAGTTTTTATTTTATTTTTTAAGAAGTAAAATTGAATGTTGATTTATTTTAACTATTTCTTTATTTAGCCCCCACTTTCCTCAAAGGAAGAGGTGAATCGTAAGAGAGAGCAAGGGTTTCGGGCGAAACCGTGAGAGAGAGGAAATAGGAGAGGGAAAGGGGAGTGCGAGGGTTTCAGGAATAAGGGAACACAGAAGAGCGTGAAGACAAAAAAATGAAATTTAGGCGTGTGAGATGAGTAAATCGGGTCATTCAAGTCAGATTTCCGTCGTATTTATGTCGGGCCTACATCAACATTACAAAAAAAAAGTTTTTGTGTCGTTTAACGCAAACACGATGCTAATTTCATCGCAATTCCAAACACAATCCCGCTATTTTCATGGTGCTTTCTCGGTCCAATTTTTCGGCAAAAATTGGAAAATTGGATGCAAAATAATATTTGTGGCATCTTCTGTAGTGATAAGCATTTACGGTGAACCTTTTTATTATCAATGTGTTGAAGATGTTTTTTAAGATATGGCATTGATTTCATATGCCATATGATCTCTCTCAATATAATTAAATAATTAGTTAATATAATTAACATACTAAACAAATTCACCTAAACTATTAGACATTAATAGCACTTCTCTGTTGTAGTAATCATTTTTATACATATCCAATAATTTATTTAGGTTATGGTGTGATTGTTTTGTGTATGAAATTAAAGATAAATATCATAAAAATACTCATATTCAAAAGAGCTTATCAAGCTATATTAACAATTAATGAAAAAATGTTAGAGATTTTGGCCATGTGACAAATTAGGGGCCGAACCAACTCCATTTCATAGGGCAGGCAAAACTTTAAATAAACAAATAATAAGATAATTAAAAGATGATAATAACAATAAATAAATGAATATTTTTAAGAAAAAAAATACAAACAATTAGTGAGATAATTTTAAGTGCATAATTAGGAGCACAAAATATAGCCAGTACCACCAATATAAGATATACAATTAAAAAATATATAAAATTATATTTATTGTATTTTTATCTATTCAGAATATAGAATGCATCCGAATTGCACACGTAACTTTTATATTATTTACCTGAAAATTCTTTCTACATGTACAAAACAATAAAAAGCTCAAAATTAGTCCAAATTAAGATTTTTCAGATCAAAACATATTCTTCTTATTACCTTCTAATTCACCAAGTACATTGAAATTATCCATAACTACGTTTGACTCTCCCTGTGCAGAAACAAATGCTGCATCTCAATGCATAAACTGCAAACAGCAAACAAACTTCAAGAGAGCTTATTTTAAACAATGCAGAATAAGTTCGTAATTAAGAACTCAGAGAATATTTCGGCTGCTTATTAGGGTAAAACAGCCCATAATGATTCTCTGTTCCCTGTGGTTGCTTAATGTCTTCATCAAACATCTCAAATATATAAGCTTCAATGCTCCCCGGCCTCTTCGGCGTTCCCGACACAACATGCTTCATCAAGTTCGACACATATGTTTGCGCATTAGCTGCGGTAGCCGCCAGCCCGCCTTCCGACGGCCATCCGGTCTCCGACACCACCACGGCGACGTTAGATTTTCCAGACAACTCCAGAGCAGAGTAGACTGCATCAACTATCGCGTCGAACAGATTCTGATACTGCAGCTGCCCGTTCGTGACCACCGTTCCCGGCGAAGTGAAGAGCGCGTAGTCAATGGAGATGTCGTTGGGATTGCTACTGTAGCTGTCGTAAGGGTAGACATTGACGCGCAGTGGAGCTCCGTTTGCGGCGAGGAAGTCGATGATGGGTTGGAGAATGGGTAATGCTTTGAAGGCGAAGGTGCCATGAGAGGGAGGATATGAGCTGCCAAGGACATCGGTGCCGACCGCAGTTGAGACCTTTATCCTATCCTGGAGGCCGGCGGACTGCAGGGCTTTCTGCACATTCTGCATTGCAGGGAGAATGTTTCCAGCTTCGTTGCCATAAATTTGTTGGTTGCCGACGGTGATGTAACGGAATGTGACATCCGGCAAGAAGGACAGGACATTGTTTTGGATCCACGAGGCGGCGGCGGAGGGATTGGAAGCAAGAGAGGGGACATCAGAAACTGGGACGCCGAGGATGACGGGAATGTTGGAGTTTTTGAGGGCTTTGAGGGCGTCTTGATTGGGGCCGTAGAGACGAATACTTCTGATGTTGTTGGATTTGTACAGATCTATGACTTCGCTTGGTGGAGGGAGATTGTCACCATTCTCTCCGTAGCAGACACCATTGGATTTCACGCCTGAGTTTCAGAAGATAATGAATTTAACCTTAGAAAACTTCATTCAATTTGCATGATTTGTCATCAATGTTAGAATAAGGCTACTAGTTTGCTTCAGAAGATAATGCATATAGGCTGTCAAAACGGCTCGTTAGCTCATGTTCGGCTCGTTAAGAAGCTCGTGTTCAGCTCGTTAATTTTGTTCGATAAGTTAACGAGCCGAAACCGAACTAAGATGTGTTGGTTCGTGTTCGGCTCGTTTTGGCTCAAAATACTACTCATCAAGTTTATATATATATATATATAAATATATATATATAGTAGTATTTTAAAAAAATCTAATTGACTACAAGGCTACAAAGATTTATAATCAATTAAAATATTGATTAAAAAAATAGAATAAATATTCTTAAATTAGATTCAAATGATGTTTTATTATAAATAATAATTTTTAAATCTTGTTCAAATCATTATTGTCTTATGTCTTATGGCTACATGATTATCATGATTATGG